CTTTGTGCGTTTTTTTCCGTCACCCACGAAACGAACCCCTTTTATTCATTCATTTCTTGATAGGTCCGACTAACAGTTGCCCCCAGGGAAACTTTTTCATTACGTTGCCTAACTGAATACATTTNCATGTGTTGATATTATATCTAATTACGTTACATTGGTTTATATCTTCACTCATTTTTCAAAATTCCGAAATATTGCTATCTCTTATTGTGGAGTTAATAGCGTAATTCGTCCTTGAAATTCCTCTGATGTTCGTGCAAACTTCTTTACCTGAAACAACAGCTCGCTGTCTGTCCAGAATTGTGGAAGTACATAAAACTTGTGAACAAACGTAAATGTGGATTTGGAAGTCCATCGGAAACTGCTTGGGATTTTGTGATGTATGACAGAAGCAATGGAAAGAGAGGACTACTAAAGCCGTATAAAGAGGATACTGAATGCAGTTTTCGACTCTGTTGGGGATAGAAGGTGGGACCATTTGGACGAAGTTCTGTATCGATATTAGTTTCACTTTTCGCCCTCAAACATCGATATGGATATAGAAAATGTCTTGAAACACATCAATGAACATTATCACGTCGATTATTTAGTATATTTTTCATTTTAATACATTTTTGTATTCACTTTCTAATCTTCTACAATGACATTCTAATATGAGTACTTTCATGCTACTCATGAGTAATGAATATGTTATTACGATTTTTCAATGGGGTGTTCCTGCAAATCAAGTCTGTCCATCTCTTCTCCCGTTTTTCCACTCTTCCACTTCTTCAATATACGGTTTCCTTCTTGATAATTGTATTCACTGAACTGATGACAATAGATGACATCTGCAAAGTGGAAATATGAAAGAATATTAGTACAGATCAGCGAAGTTGTAAAAAGTATAGACGGAAGCTAATATGAACTTGATATTCGATTAACATAGGGTAGTCATTATAAACAATCCCTTAGTTATGTGTAATAACAGCCACGTGTATTAAAGAAAACCACAGAGGAACACGAAAATCAATGATATCAGGAACACACGAGATATCTCTACATAAAAGCTAATCGGCATTTGAACTTACCCATGATCGCGTCCGTTATGCACAATGACGACAATGCGTGTTTCCCGCACATGTCACTCCAATTCAATCCACTAAGAATGAAGACAAAGGCATCATTCACTTATAGTCATTCCTAAATGAAATGTGCACTAAAATCACCTTCCATGTTGGATATCAATTATTGTTGATTGAGCAGAAAAAATCGACTATCTCAATAATTAGCTAATTGCTGTCAGCATAAGGATTAAATATCTTACCTTGTTGATTGGCATTGCGTATCAGATGTACTTGGCGTCTGATCTGAGGACCTGTGTGATAAACGATTGGAAATGAATGAAACCCTTACCGTGTCGTTGATTGACAGTTCTCTTTTTTGTTCCCTGACTCCGGTAAGCAGGAAGTGCTGCTTCTTGAGTCCCATATGTCAACTCTGCAGTCTACTTACCTTAAGATCAAGCTGATAATAATCATAATAATAATTGATAATTGGCTTGGCTAAGGCAAAAGAACCTCAATGTCTGAGATAAATCACTTTTGGTGAACTGTGGCTATCGCATTATCGGCGAATTCAACAATAAAATACAACTAAAATAAAGTTAAAGTTACGGGAGGATTCACATTCATCAACGCATAATGGCTATTGAAAGGTATTCGTAATAAGTTTACAACGATACGCATATTTGACTAACTGACATATGTACATTTTCACGTGTGATATCTAAATGCTGACACGAATGATTTCCAATAAAGAGTGAGGTGTTACCTTCATTTTCTAAATGTATGTAGGGGGCGGCGGTGGTTAGCCATACGAAAACGAATATGGCGGACAAACAAACTGCCCACTGAAACTAAGGGTCAAATAAAACAAAGCTGGAAATTTTGTCGATAAAGTGAAAAAACAGAAGAAACTAATTAAACATTTATGAAAATATAATTCTGCGCAGCTAAAATGGAGAAAAGACAAGTTTTGGAGAAAACGCGAAAGTTGGAGCGTTTTGAGGGCGAAAAAACGCTCCGGCGTTTTGGCAGGAGTGTGATTTTGTCCAAACGGTAAATAGCTTTAGCGGATGAAATACAAATCAACAAAAACTAGGCCTATCAAAACTGGGAAAATCGGTAGCGAGGCCAACCAGTCAAGTGCCCTCCGATACGAGTAGGCTGCAGCATGATGTAAACGCTCATCACACCTCTCACTCTTCAAAAGATTAAATCGAACTAGAGGTGGGAATATCAGCTCTGCAGATAATGCGCGGAAACGAGTTCGATGAACAGAATGAGAATACTCAAAGTGGAAGATTTACAATTTCAGAGGAAGAGCTGCAGTCGAGCCAGAAAAGTGCACAGTGCTACAAAAAGGACGGTAAATGGCTTATGGATAAACTGTTTCAAAGACTGATACAGACGGAATGTTTTCTGTGCACAAGAAGTAATGGGCTTTGAGGCATCACCGTTAACGGTTTGTCTGGTTTATACTATTTACGTAAACAGTGAACGGTAGTCTAAAACCAGGAGTTCCAGCATGCCAAACTGGACAAATCATCTTCTGAGGTTTGTTACGGCGGCAGATGTAGTTGTAAGACGCATCGGAATAACTTCAAGTCACTTTAATCAACAATCAACAATTATTAGGTATTGAAAAAACAAGTTGGTAGCACACCTACTAGAAGGCAGCAGAATCAATTT